GAGCCGGGCCGAACGTCCGAACGCTGCATTGGTTACAAAATTCACGTCTTCAACGCCAGTCACTCCCACTACCAATTCAACATCATTGCTGGTGGCGCCTGCTTGTTCACCTTCAACGTCATCATCCATCTCATCATCATGTTCATCTTCATACGAAGCATGCGCCTGTGATGGACCTGCTTCCTCTTCGGCTTCATCATCGACTTCCATGTCATCGCCATTGATCTGCATATTTGGGTGAGTGCCCTTCTTCATGCGCTTCGCTTTTGATTGCTTGATCTTGTCCCTGACCCGCTCCTTTTGCGACAAATAACCGAAGAATGCTACTAATGCATCGTATGGCAATGGCAAAATAAGGTCGTCCAAGGTTTCATTCAGAGCTGCATGATATCGTGGGTGAGACCTGAAAAAAGCTATGATAGCATGAATGCGGTATGCGTAGTTCCTCTGCGTACTAAGACTGACCACTTTTGACTGCAATTCTCGAAATGCCTGGATGTTCAAATCAAGTCCCCCTGAACCAATGACTCTGCGATCCTGGAAGACACGCAATAATTCTTCGTCAGTGCGAGCACTGACCCGCCGTTTATTCGAAGGTGTTCTTTGAGTCACGGTGTTGTTATGGGCTCCTTGGTTGCATTGCCCACAATAGTTCATATCATCTGTGCCTTTCAGAGTACTAGCACAAAGATGATGAAAGGGTTTGTTGCAATACTGGCAGACTTTCAACTGAGCCTCAGGTTGCCCTCGCATAACACATGAGGCTTCATACAAGCATGTCTGCCCAGCCGGTGCCGACATTGTTTGCCACGATGCAAACGTTCTCCGTGACTCGATATGTATACTTGCAATTGTGGTGGAATCTGTGAGATTCTGTGTCCCTGGCAGGGTTCACTCTGATGATTGTGATAGCAACGAGGAAAGATGCCCAGTCTTCCCCTTGTTTGATCGCTTCGGCTTCTACAATGGCAAGTGGGGTGCATCCACACCCGGTAGTGTGCGACCCCATGGCTTGCCGACCAGCAATATCTCCCGGCTGTACCCCTTAGTACCCTATGGGATTGAGTGTCAGTAAACGGGTGCCGTGGTACCCTACCCATCTTGCGATGTAACGTATACCACCCCCCACCCATCTCCAGGCTTTCGTGCTCTACATTACTTCTTAAATTAAAATTGTTATGTGTCACTACTCGTAGTACTTAACGTTGTACCAAAGTCTTGCAATTTAAAATTTGAATGTAGAAGTTGTAAAAATTTCGCTCCATTGATTGGCTAAATCGTGCAGATAGCTGTGCGAAAGAATTGGGTGTTGAAGGACCGGGTCATTTGTCACATTTTAAATCTCCCCTCACCAGCGCCCTTTTTTTTGCTTGATTTTTGAGTTCAAATTTAAGGCCACCAAATAAATAACCGTTGTCTATAACATTTTTGAATAAATCAATACATGTTTTTTTTTGGGTTTTTCCTCGCGCCCTAGCGCCCAACATAAAAGCATTGAGCTCATAAGGGCGCTAACTTAAAAAGGGTTATACTTCACGAAAAAAAAAGAGGCGCATTTTATTACTGTTGTAGGACGTATTTACTGGTACAAAAGGACTGTACCGGATATCCAGAGATTCCACTCAAGTTCCACGACAATCATGGTACACATGCCTGGTACAAATTTGTACCAGGTCTTTCACACTTAGCCATTTCGGCGTTGCTTTCATGGCGGATCGTTGCGGTTGCGCATTCGCCTTGGTCAGGTACTTGTGGGCGTCGGAACACCTCCTCACCCATCACATGACCCCTGAATCCAGGCTCCCGATCTTCCCTCCAAGTATCAAGACGACAGCTCAAATTCAAGGTTGACTTGCCTTTGAAGTCCGATAGTGCTCAAGTCGCACATGCTGGCTTTGCTCATGGTTTGACTGTCCCGTCTCGGACTTGCACTGAACCGTCACAGCCTTGCACTCCAGTGTGCAGACAATTCACTGATGGTGGTGGGAACGTTGTCATCACGTTGTCATCACTCATCAATATGCAGCATCTAGATGTGGTCAATGCCAAAGAAGTAACATCTCTCCAATCATGATAAACCCCTGAGCTTCAAACTCCATTTCACCCCTCATTCGCCCCCATGATCATGAATCTGTACCTCATTTGCCCCCATGATCATGAACCTGTAACACCTGACGATATGCATTACTGTGGAATATGGTTGACACGCAACGTTCCTTTTGGAACATAACTGACCCTGAATCCAGCTTGGCATCAGTGCATGAAAATCCATAATGCCGTACATGACAATATGCACTCCACAGATCATGTTTAGCTTGTCATCAAGACAGTGATTCATGCGAATGTCTCCTCCATCACCATCCATCACCAACATGCCAGATGGCAGCTGATGCCACGGCATCTCACAACCTCAACTCCAACAAAGCATACTCCGGCATCCCTTCCCTGTCACATTATCCACCATCCCCTTGATTTGCAGTGCAGTATGATACCTGATCAACTGCATTGTCTGTTGCTCTCATTGTCATCATCATCCCAAAAAGTACCCTTGAGTATATCACAACCTACCATCGCTTTGGCATCGTAGCGAGACTCATTCTTTCCAACATTCCATTTCCACATGAGGGCTTAACACAGATGTATCAACTCAACAATGATTTCATTCAGGAACGAACTGTAAATTCTCTACACTACGTGCTCTGGAGAATGTCTGCATACGTCCTTTGTCCACTCTCACTATTTCTATTCGCCTCTACCTGATGGTCTTCAACTGCCAGTGACATCTCAATACGAACCTGCTGGCGATATTCCACCAAGTGCTTGTAGTATGTGATGTATGAGTATTGCGAGTACCTCTTTCTCTGTGCCATCGCCGTCCATGCATCATCTCCGTACGCCCTTTCCACTAGCGTACGGAAACCTGTTCTGTAACACTGACAGAAGTTGTGAGGCATAATCCCCTCATTTCCTTGCAGTACTCCTTGCTCTCGGCATATATTTTCCACCATGGTCATCACAAGATATGCTTTGTATACATTCTTCCTCGTGTTCTCATCCTTCACGTCTGCGGAGAAAGGAACCTGACTGAGGTGCTTTAAGGGCCGAATCCTCCTCACTTGTCCTTCCACGATGACATCTTGCCCCAAATTCCACCACATGAACATATTTCGAACTCTGCACCGCAAAGGAAATCGCCAAGCCAACGGGACCATGTGTCTGCCAGGCCCCCATCCTTCCCATTCGAAGTCATCCCCTCCAACTTGTATCTCACCGTTGCCATCATCCCCCAGTCCTGGTGATGAAACCAGCACCGCATTCCTCTCCGGTGTCCCCTCCCTGCTCACTTCTGCACCTTCCTCCGATTCACTCTCATTCAATCTTCCATTCGAGTCAGCATCTGCCATCACGTTGCTCACCCCATGTGCCATCATGACATGGCCTGCTCCACCCAGTACCATCTGTCGCATAGCTTCACCCACGGCGGCCTGCACCTGCTCCCCTATATTGCCCATCTGCTGCACCTGTTGTCCTATATTGGCAACCTGTTGCATGACGATGCGGAAAGCATCTGTGAAGTCCATGCTTCCAGATGTAACCTGCCCTCCACTGGGACCTCGTACATCCCTCATCCATCCAGCAACAAAACCTAAATTCGTTCGCAGTTCGTCCCTGATCACAGTTTTGAAATCGTCAAACTTGTGGTCCAGTTCTTTCATCT